TCACAGGAGATGACAGTTCCATGCATGTTACTGCCCCTGAAGACCTTCCAGGGGACAAGATGGGGAGGTAAAAGACAGTGATATTGATGATCCTGACCCTGTATAGGCGTAGGCTAATGTGTGTGTTTGTGTCTTAGTTTTTAACGAAAAAGCTTTTAAAGAATAAGAATTACAATGTTAAAAATAGCAAAAAACTGTATAGAATAAGAATGTAAAGAAAGAAAATATTTTCATACAACTGTACAATATATTTGTGTTTTATGCTAAGTGTTATTACAAGAGTCAAAACCTTTTTAAAAAATTAGAAGTGCATAAAGTAAAAATATCACAGTGAGCTGAAGTTAATTTTTTATTGCAAAAAAAAATTTTTAATAAATTTAGTGTAAAAAGTAAGGATAATGTCTTAGATGTGTTTGTATACATCATTCATTTCCCAATACCTGTATGACCTCCCTGGAATTAGCACAGCTTAATATATATTTTGATATATACTTTATGCTCAAAAAGTGATTGGTAAAACAATAAACACGAGGATGAATGACAGATATAAAAACTCATGCAGGGGCCGGACATGGTGGCTCATGCCTGTAATCCCAGCACTTTGGCAGCCCGAGGCGGGCAGATCACCAGGAGTTCAAGACCAGCCTGGCCAACATGGCAAAACCCCATCTCTACTAAAAATACAAAAATTAGTTGGGTGCAGTGGCAGGTGCCTGCAATCCCAGCTACTCAGGAGGCTGAGGCAGGAAATCACTGGAACTGGGGAGGCACAGGTTGCCGTGAGTCAAGATTGCGCCAATGCACTCCAGCCTGGGTGACAGAGTGAGACTCTGGCTAAAAAAAAAGAAAAGAAAAGAAAACTCATGCAGGTACAAAGAAGAGAGTATTTATTCTTAGTAGGGAAATCAGAAAAGGCTACATGGAAGAGATGGAATAGGAATTGAGCCTCGAGAAATTACTAGACATGTACCTAACAAAGGAAAGAGAGGAAGACATTCCAAGAGAGGGAATAATGTGAGCAAATTAATGATGGGTAAAAAATTGGAGGCCGGGAAACCTTTCTGGTACAGCTGCCCTTGTCCCTCTCCAGGGGAGTGAAGAAGATCCAGACTAAGCATCGGTGTGGCGTTGGAAGAGGGAGACATTCATAGATCTTTGGGAAATGACTCTATGGGGCTTTACTTCTACAGGAGGAGAAGCTCAGACACCAAGAGAAAGGGACTTGTTGAAAATGTGGAATAAAAGAATTGGAATCAAATCATCAGGTGACGTGAATGTGAAGGCATTGGCCTTCTAGAAGAAAACGCTGTAAATTCAGATGTCAAGGAGGTGCCGTGGTGAATGTGGTGAATGGGGACTCCAAACAAGGAAAAATTCTCACCGCATTTTACAGGCGTTGAAGGCTGGTGAGGAAAGCTGGGTTCTTGGCTGAGGTTCTTATTCAGCTGATTACAGAGAGCAACACATACACGCATGACTAACAACCCCATAACAGGCCCTTCCTTTTGAGCTGTAATGGGAGCCACACTGACAGATGTGATGGGTGTTCTCAGCAACCCCCGGGGAGTGACAACTGCAGCGCTCACTTACGAAAACAGGTGAGACTCACTCTTGAAACGTTCTAGCTGTTGGGCTGTGAGTGGGTTGGGTTCCCCAAGCATCCTAAATGTTTCCTCTGACCATTTGGAAGGGTGATCCTAACATCTTAGCTGTGAGGCCCTGTGAGAACCTTCCTTACCTCCTTTTGGAGGCTCACTTTTCTTATCTGTGAAATACAGATAACATCACAAACTACTTTGAAGGGTGAATGTGAGAAAATGATGAGAAAGTAGATGCGAAGGTTCCCAGGAAACTAAGAAAGATTAATAAATGTCAAAGGTTAGTCCTACAAGCCAAGAACTTTACCTGGCATTCATTTCTGCATATTTCTGAGAAAAATGTGGTCTGTTTCTGTGCAAACCATCCAAAGTGTAAGCAATTTTTTTTCTTGATAGAGAATAACTTCTTCTCTTAAAAGGGAAGTGATGCTTCGCAAATGGCAAGCACATCAGAAATTTTTAGTATAGTCTTCTCAACACCTCTCAGAGACAAAGGATAACCCACCAACATCTGCAACGGTTCTGAATGGGCAGAAGGCAAATGGAGCTGACCACAAGGCAAGGAGAGAAGGCTTTTGCAACAAAGTCCTCTCCAAAGGAAGCCACCAATGACTTGCCACATCTCTGCAAGAGCTTAGAGACTAAAGAGAAAATGAACAGCTCAATGTCTTTTTGTTTGTTTGTTTGTTTGAGACAAAGTCTCGCTCTTGTTGCCCAGGCTGGAGTGCAATGGCGCAGTCTGGGCTCACTGCAACCTCCGTCTCCCAGGTTCAAGCGATTCTCCTGCCTCAGCCTCCAGAGTAGCTGAGATTAAAGGTGCCCACCACCACGCCTGGCTAATTTTGTATTTTTAATAGAGACGGGGTTTCACCGTGTTGGCCAGGATGGTCTCGAACTCCTGACCTCGTGATCCGCCCACCTCGGCCTCCCAAAGTGCTGGGGTTACAGGTGTGAGCCACCGCACCCAGCCTCAATGTCTTAACATGTGCAGGCTAGGGAGAGTTTAACAAAATTTGTTTATTTGTAATTATTCGTAAGATTGATTTTTCTTTGTGACAGTATCTTATGTTCATGAGTTTGTTTAGAAAACACTTTCATTCCCTTTATTGTATATAATTCTCACACTAAGCCATGCAGCTAGATAGTAGTGTTATCATTATTATTCCTTTTTAAGATCTGAAGAAACTGAAGCTCTGAGGGACATGCGATGGAAAGCAGGACTGTGATGCCGGACTCCCCAGTCCCCAAGGGCAGGACCCTGTCTTCCATCCCTCTTAGTGTCAAGTCTGCTGCTCCAAGCAGAGGCCTGTGCATGCTTCCTGACTTAAGTATCTTGTTTGTTCCTGTGTGTATTCATTCCACACATACATGCTGGGCACAAATACACGTTGCTGTGTAAATGACAAATTTGTATGTGAACCTAACTCTGCTTAAAACACAGTGGGGGAAAGGTGTGAGGGGAAGGAAAGGCAGGAGCCCCAAAACCCTTTAGGATCGGTACTCCTGTAAGAAGAAGCGTAAGCAGAGCACAGTAGCTGAAGAGATTGGATGAGTCACTGTTGTCTAAGCCACTGGTTCTTAAACTTCTCTGTGAAGTAGGATTAGGCCTGGGCCTTGTTGTTTTTCCAGAGTTCCCCAGGTGATTCTGATAGTGACCAAAGTTTGAGTGTCCACCGTTCTAAGTGAACTTTCCTCAGGGATGAGATTCCATAGGTGGTGACTCTGAATTTTTGTCTGCTTCTTCTCTGGCACCGGTATGGGGAGCGGGGCTTCCAACAGAGGTCAGCGGTTGACCTCTGCACATCGAGGCATTGCTCCCATGTGAATCCACAGGACTCAGTCAGGGTTGCCAGGCTCTAGCTTAGGACTTGAGGAGGGGGACACCGACCTGGGGGAAAGCTGGCTGGGGTGCTCCATCCCTCCAGGGAAGGATATTGTCCCAGCAGCACTGTCAGGGCGACTTGCCAACACACACTTTTGCTCTTTAAATAGGGCTTTGTTCAATGAACATTGACTAAGCTGCTCTGGGGTTGGGGCAGAACCAGAGATGAATCAGGCAAATGCTACCTTCAAGGACCTCCCTGGTTAGTGGGAGAGACACACACCTCTAACCTAACTATCGTAAGTGCTGTCAAAAAGACAGGAGCCCTGGGAGGGAACGCTCAGTCAGCCTGGCCAGGGAAAGCTTCCTAGAGGAAGTGACATTTGAAATGTCAGAGTCCACAAAGCAGGGAAGGGGAAGCAAGCTCTTGGTAGAGAAAGCAGCTGGTGGCAAGGCCAGAGGGTGCTTGGGCAGAGTGTAGCTAGGAGGCTGGTGTAACAGTGAGGCAGGATGTTGGGGACAGAGAAGAGGAAGGGTGGCCAGATGGGAGGGACCTGGAGCCCCAAGCAAGAGAGTTGTCTTAATTTCCCACAATGGGGAGCCTTCCCTTTCTCCTTACCCTTTGTTTTCTTCTCTGCCTTACTCTCCCCTTTAGGAGGTAAAAAAAGGAGGAAGAGAAGGGGATGCAGAGGGAGAAGGGAGAGAGGAACAGAGCCATTCCACTTCCGTTTTGGTTGGCTCCACCTTGAAATGCTATTGCTGTGTTTTACCTGGAATTAGTAAGTTAATGACTCCTGGCTCCACGAGAGACATCAGTGCTGGAGCTTCAACCCAGGAGGGCTGAGCTTAGCTCTGGGTGGCACAGTTTAGGTGTGTCCAATACAGCCTAGAGTAGCAGTTTCCAACCTCTTGATCTCAAGGGCCATCCCTCACCTCCCGTGACGTTACTTAGGATTTCAGTGCCTGTTGATTATGAATATACAAAAGGAAAAAAGCCAGCTGTTAATTCAGGTGCACTCTAGAGTACACTTGCGTTCGTTCTATACCATAGGATCCATACACGTTAAAAAATCTGTTAGCGTGCAATAACTTACATCAAAGACCAACAGCACACATTGACAAACACTGGTAGCATATGTGATAGAGCAAGGACTAATGCCTTTTATATAAAGAGTTCTTACAAATTACAAAGAAAAAAACTCAACAACTCAAAAGGAAAAAAAAATGAATGGGTAAACGACATTAGCAATGGTGTTCGCAGAAAAAGAAATACAAATGTTTTAACTTCCCTCATAATGAAATATACACATATATATGTAATATATTCTATAAATATACATATAAGGAATATCATTTTTTAAAAAGTCTGGTAGAGTAGCAAAGACTGAAATGAAAAGGTATCAAAAGGGAGCCACTTTCATCCACCCCCGGGAAAGTGTTAATAAGAACAAATTATTTGGAGGGTAATTTCACCACATCTATCAACATTAAAATATACTATATTGCTTGACACAGAAATTCCACTTCTAAAAATTTATTCCTCATATAAAAATCACACATGTTCTCAAAGGACGTCCCAATGAGCTGGATTCACTAAGGGGCGATCACAACGCTGCTTTATTTTTGCTCACCCTGTGAACTTATTCTCTGGGTCCCTTATTTCGAAAGAGCAGTCTCTGTCATTTAAAAGCACATATTCCAGCATGTTTGCCAGAACTCAGAACAAATCTCATTTGAAAATTTCTCCCTTCTTCCACCCAGGTCTGCTTCAAACTTAAATGCCAGCTGTAGGAGAAGGGGGAGGCAAGGTTGTCCCCGCTCTTCCTCTCACCTCTTCACCCTCACTATCTCCCTCCCTGGGACAGGACCCAGAAAAAGAGGAAATAGGGAAGAGGGCAGAGCTTCCCAAGGCTGGTTCTGCTGGGAGCCAGGGTTGCTGCCCTCTGGGCTGGGTGGCGTGTGCAGGTTCCCTAGGCATTCCGCCCTTGGGAACTCACACTGGCAGTCACCTGAATGCAGTGAGGCCTCCTCCGGGCTGCTGCTTTCTGCGTCTCTTTGTTGGACTGTTGAGCTTCCAACAGTTCCTCCCCTGCCTTTCAGAGGGTGCTGTCAGGAAAATCCCCATTCTAGGTGGCTCTCATCTTTCTCTCTCCTGTTAGTCCTTTTTTGATTCCCAGACAACAGGGCTGTTTGCTCTCCTCAGCTGGTGGACGCTCCCTTGCTGCCGGGAGGAGGAAGCGTGTTCTCTCTTTTTCTCTCTCTGTCACCTCAGGCCAGCACAGCCTCAGCTTCTCTTTCCTGGTCTTGAGCTCCCAAATTCAGGTTCCAGGGACCAGCACTGAGCTCTCCCTTTCAACCTTTCTCAGTTGGCTTTCTCCAGCCGACCCTGTCCCGGGAGAAGAGGGTGGGGAGGGACAAAAGACACTGTGACAGGACTCACCAGAGACTGTCTCCTCTCCCAGCCTCTGAAGACTGGTGTCAGGCAAAGGATGGTCCGTGCTGGTAGAACACCAGGGCCTGCCAAGGCGGTCTAGCACCTCATTTAACATTGGGGAGGGAGATATTCAAGTACCTGTTGTATGGTTTCTAGGGATTTGGAGTCTCAGCCGGAAACTGAGACTTGAAGAGTTCCATTTTAACATCCCGTTATATGTATATGCCACATACATCATTTACAACATTGTTTATAATAGAAAAAAAACAAAATAACCTAAATGGACTGGGCACACTGGCTTATGCCTGTAATCCTAGCACTTTGTAGGCCGAGGCCGGTGGATCACTTGAGGTCAGGAGTTCAAAACCAGCCTGGCCAACATGGCAAAACCCTGTCTCTACTAAAAACACAAAAATTAGCCAGGTGAGGTGGCGCACCCCTTTAATCCCAGCTACTCAGGAGGCTGAGGCAGAAGAATCGCTTGAACCTGGGAGGCGGAGGTTGCAGTGAGCTGAGATCACGCCACTGTACTCTAGCCTGGGTGACACAGTGACACTCCGTCTCAAAAATAAAAAATAGCCTAAATGTCTGCTAAATCACTTACAGAACAACCGTATGATAATCTGCATATGTCATTATAGGAAAAGCTCTACGTGATATATTGTAAAGTTAAAAAAAACGCAGAGTGTAGAACACCAGGGGGTCCCATTTGTGCATGAATGCTTTCTGAAGGGGCATTTCATTATATACTTGATTGTATTTGCACAGAAATTCTGGAGATGAGACTAAAAATCGGGATAGTAAGGAGACCTATTACTCTTTGTATAACTTTTAATACTTTTTGAATTTGTATCATAATACATGAGTTTTATAATTCTAAAACCTATTATTAGGAGATAAATAAATATAAACACAGTTTATCGTGTTCCTTTTTAGAAAGCATTGGCTTTATCCACAGAAGCAATAAGCCCTCCAGCAAATAAAACAGAAATATATAAGGAAAAAAAAAATCTATAGAAAATGCCTATAAAGAATACAGTGGAGGCAGGACGTGGTGACTCACCCCTCCAATTCCAGTGCTTTGGGAGGCCAAGACAGGAGGATCCCTTGAGCGCAGGAGTTCCAGAGAAGTCTGGGCAAAATAGTGCGGCCCTGTCTCTACAAAAAAAAAAAAAAGTTTTAAAAAATTAGCTGGATGTGGTGGTGCATATCTGTAGCTTCAGCTACTCAAGAAGCTGAGCGCAGGAGGATTGCTTGAGCCCAGGAACTCAAGGTTGCAGTGAACTGCACTCACTCCAGCCTGGGCAAGAACCTGAACAAGACTCTGTCTCTAAAAAATAAAAATAGAAAAAGAAAAAAACTGAAAAATATATTTCCCACAAAACTTTGTTAACCCCATCTTCCATCTTCCCAAGGTCATACAAGGTAATCACTTTTAACAGTGAAGTGTACGTTTTCTTCTAGATATTTCTCTGTGACTTTACAACATGTATAATTTTTCAAACCAGAAATGGAATCACATTATACAGAACGTTCTTTTTATTTTATCTTTTTTTTTTTTTTTTTTTTTTTGAGACAGGATCTTCCTCTGTTGTCCAGACTAGAGTGCAGTGACACGATCACAGCTCACTGCAGCCTCAAACTCCTGGGCTCAAGTGATCCTTCTGCCTCAGGCTCCTGAGTAGTTGAGACTACAGGCACACATTACCACACCCAGCTAAACTTTTAACTTTTTGTAGAGATGTTGCCTTCTTATACTGCCCAGGCTCAGAATGTTCTAAAGCCTTATTTTTATTTTCCACTTTAAAATAGGCCAAGCGCAGTGGCTCATATCTGTAATCCCAGCACTTCGTGAGGCTGAGGCAGGAGGATTGCTTGAGCCCAGGGGTGTGAGATCAACTTGGGCAACATAGTGAGACCCATCTCTACAAAAAATTTTTGTAAACATTAGTCAGCCACGGTGGTGTGTATCTAGACTCAGCTACTAAGGAGGCTGAGATGAGAGGATCATTTGAGCCTGGGAGGTTAAGGTTGCAATGAGCTGTGATTGTGCCACTTCACTTTGGCCTGGGCAACAGAGCAAGACCCCATATGAAAAAATTAATTAATGAACTTTTAAAATAAAAGTAATCTAGACCCAGCGCAGTGGCTCACACCTGTAATCCCAGCACTTTGGGAGGCCGAGGCGGGCGGATCACAAGGTCAGGAGTTCGAGACCAGTCTGATCAACATAGTGAAACCTCGTCTCTACTAAAAATACAAAAAATTAGCCGGGTGTGGTGGTGTGCTCCTGTAATCCCAGCTACTCAGGAGGCTAAAGCAGGAGAATCATGTGAACCTGGGAGGCAGAGGTTGCAGTGAGCTGAGGTCGCACCATTGCACTCTAGCCTGGATGACAGTGTAAGACTCCATCTCAAGAAAAAAATAAATAAATAAAATAAAAGTATCTAAAATATTCCTTGGACAAGCTTCCAAGTCAGCACATTTAGACTCACTCCATTCCTCTTAACCTTTGAAACAGTATACCCCTGTATGTCCCCAATATTACAGTTTACTGGACCATAACTTGACACTGCTGCCCTTCTAAGTCAGGCTACAGTGACCACTCTTACATACACATACCTAAGTTTGCATACAGTAACGACATTCTCATGTGTTAGATCCCTTAAGTAGGACTGCTGGGACATTAGCAATGTTGACAGATCCTGCCAAAATTCTACATAACTCCTCTGCCTGCCGGCCCCTTTCACTGCAACCCTACTTTCTGACACTTGACTGAAGCAATGGGAGCTACCTTGTTGACACAACTTATAAACCACACTGAGCGACTCATGACCTACAGGCTGGGACTCACTGACCTACATCAGAACTTTTTTATCCCAGGCATAACTAGCCCTGAAGCTATGCGGTGGAATAAGATAGAGGAAAGAGGCTATACATAGTAGCTCATGCCTGTAATCCTAGCACTTTCGGAGGCTGAGGCAGGAGGACTGCTGGAGTCCAGGAGTTTGAGACCAGCCTGGGCAACATATTGAGATATTGAGATCTTGTCTCTCCCTCTTTGTTTTTTCTTTCCTGAGATGGAATCTGACTCTGTTGCCCAAGATGGAGTACAGTGACACAATCTCCGCTTCCTGCAACCTCCATCCTCCCCCAGGTTCAAGCGATTCTCCTGCCTCAAGCTCCCAAGTAACTGGGACTACAGGCACCTGCCATCATGCCCGGCTAATTTTTGTATTTTTAGTAGAGATGGGGTTTCACCATGTTGGCCAGGTTGGTCTCAAACTCCTGACCTCAGATGGTCCGCCTACCTCAGATTTCCAAAGTGCTGAGATTATAGGTGTGAGCCACCATGCCCAGCCAATCCTGTCTCTATTTTTTTTTAATTTTTAACAAAATTTTGTAAAGATAGAGTCATGTTATATTTCTATTATACAACCATAGATTAAATTAGAAATGAAAAGCAAAACTTCTGCATCATCATCACTAAGATGAAACATAAATCACCCATGAAATGCCTTGGTTCAGCTCCAGGTATACCCCAGACCCCTTGTAGGATCCCTGTCCACTCTCTTTTGCCCTTAGATAACCATGCTGCAATTCACCAACCTTGTGGAAAAGCAGTCAATAACTGGGCCGAGGAAGGTTCTGGACCCCACGTGAGAAAGGGATGAGAGCCACTAGAGAAAATGGTCTGTGAGTAACAAGACTGGCATCAAAAATCTTTAAGGGCTGTCCTGTGGAAGAAAAAGCAGACTAAATGCAGAATAGGAGCAAAAATTCAGAGCAACAGGCCCACAGGTTTTTAAGCTAGACAAGACAGAACTTCAAAACTATGCAGAACTTCCAGGGAAAACATGCATGAGCCAAAACTAGAATCAATTACCTCCACAGAAGACCCGAGGGCAATGTGCGTGGCTCTACAGAAGGGCCGACGGGTGACAGATGGTGATGTGCATGGCAGCCTGAACAGTATTGTCTAAAGAAGTCCAACTGGCTATTGCTGAGGAGCCACAGCGTTCTACATTTATTTTATTACTTTCTATGAAATCCACCTACTTCAGAATTTGGCCTGTGCCTTTTCATTTCAAAAACCTGATTTGGCCAACTGTGGTGGCTCACGCCTGTAATCCCAGCACTTTGGGAGGCTGAGATGGACGGATAACCTGAGGTCAGGAGTTCAAGACCGGCCTGGCTAACATGGTGAAACCCCGTCTCTACTAAAAATACAAAACATTAGCCAGGCGTGGTGGCATGCACCTGTAATTCCAGCTACTCGGGAGGTTAAGGCAGGAGAATTGCTTGAACCCCGGAGACGGAGGTTGAAGTAAGCCAAGATCACGCCATTGCACTCCAGTTTGGGCAACAAGAGCAAAATGCCATCAAAAAGAAGAAGAAAAGAAAAACTGATTTGATTAGAACAAGAATAGATTAGTCTCTCAAAGATGATTCATATCAACCAAGCTCAAAGAGATGGATGTGCATTTATTTATACAGAGAGAGAGTCAGCTGTTAGGTAAACCAGCAACTCAAGTCATCCTCAACAAACATCCTCTTTCCTGTGGCAGATGGACTCAGTAGGGATAGCTGTGTCCTTGGAATGATCATTCTCAAGGTCTATTATTGGTCAAGACTCTGGCTTCACCTCACATCTTGCCTTTCATGGATGATGAAATCCCTTTCAATGTTCTACTCCTTCTAGTACATAAATACCTCAGTCCCATTATTGACAAGTCCTGATGTTCTGGGAGAATCTTTTTTTTTTCTTTCTTTCTTTCTTTCTTTTTTTTTTTTTTTTTGAGACTGAGTCTCTCTCTGTCACCCAGGCTCGAGTGCCATGGTGCAATTTTCGCTCACTACAACCTCTGCCTCCTGGGTTCAAGAGATTCTACCAAGTAGCTGGGATTACAGGCATACGCCACCACACCCGGCTAATTTTTGTATTTTTTGTTGAGACGGGGTTTCACCATGTTGACCAGGCTGGTCTTGAACTCCTGACCTTGTGATCCGCCTGCCTTGGCCTCCCAAAGTGCTGGGATTACAGGTGTGAGCCACCACGCCGGGCCTGAGAATCTTTTTAAGGTGAATCTCCACCCCGATTTATCATATTTGGCTTTCATGTGTCAACTTTCATAGGACAGATCCTGTTCTGGCAGGAAAACATGACTTGCATAAGGGAGTAGAAAGGACTTCATGTGCACTGGCTTACCACACACCATAGTGAGATACAGTATGGGATCATAGCTAAAGACGCATGCTTTCCATACTGAACCCTGGTTTGTCACTTACTCACTGTAAATTACATCATTCTCCTCTGTTTCAGTTTCCTCTTCTGCAAAGTGAAGATAATAATAACACCTGCCCATAAAGTTTGTGGTGAGAATGAAATAAATTAATAAACAAGGCCCTTATGTTAGAGGTGTTTGAACCGCAGCGACTCCATCTTGAACATGGGCTGGGTAAAATAACGCTAAGAACTACTGGGGTGCATTCTTAGTCACAGGATGAGATAGGAGGCCAGCACAAGATACAGGTCACAAAGACCTTGCTGATAAAACAGGATGCAGTAGAGAAGCCGGCCAAAACCCACCAAAACCAAGATGGCTACGAAAGTGACCTCTGGTCATCCTCACTGCTCGTTATATGCTGATTATAATACATTAGCATGCTGAAAGACACTCCCACCAGCACCATGACAGTTTATAAATGCCAGGGCAACTTCAAGAAGTTACACTCTATGGTCTAAAAAGGGGAGTAACCCTCAGTTCCGGGGGAATTGCCCACCCCTTTCTTGGAAAACTCATGAATAATCCACCTTTTGTTTAGCATAGAATCAACAAATTACCATAAGTATACTCAGTCAAGTAGCCCACGATGCTGCCCTGCCTATAGAAGAACGATTCTTTTATTCCTTTACTTTCCTGATAAACCTGCTTTCACTTTATGGACTCGCCTCAAATTCTTTCTTGCGTAAGGTCCAAGAACCCTTTCTTGGGGTCTGGATCGGGACCCCTTTCTGGTAACATCCTAGAACAGTGCCCGGCAACGTGTCTGCATCCTAGAAGGGTTTGCTGCTCTTATGACCAGACCTTACAATAAACCTTACCTACTTAATTCCCACCATGAGATAAGTCATATTCTTGTCTCCATTTACCAGTGAGAAAGCAGAAGCTTGGCAAGAAGATCAGAGAGAGCTGGAACTGAAACCCAGTTCTCTCTGACCTTCTAGCCGGGGCTCCCTCCATCACCCCCATCCAGCAGATCTTTCACAGAGGCACAGTAGAACCACTTCTCTTCTCTTCATTGGGTTGGGGTAGGGTGGGGGAAGTCTATTTTCATCACTGCAGCTCAGCCTTGAGCAAGAAAAAGGATCGTGTCCCCTGCTGGTGGCAAGACCAGAGGGAGCTGGCGAGAAGCATACATTGTGCAACAAGACCAGCTGCGTGGCAGATGTGTCCACAGCTAAACATGACAGGAGTTTCATTTCCAGAGTCAAGAAAGAAGACCTATCCTGAAGCATCCTCAGTGACCCTACCTGAGCAGATGGGGCGGGAGCAGCAGGGAGGCCTTGACGTTTCTACGCACTTTGATTTCCTCTCTGTTTCTCTGCTGCAGTTAACTGCTGAAATGCAAAGGCTGCTGGATGCCCACACACCATGTCTCCAATCACAGGTGTCCCTGATCCCCCTGGGCTTACTGAATATCTGACCATTACCCTCAGAACAGCTACTTATGCGTGAAAGAGCAAATGATAAGAGAAAGGGAGGGCCAGTGACTGTGAAAGTCAAGGCCCCGAAGGGACCTCCATCTGAAGTTGCTGGGTAGTTGAACAGGCCTGGGTTTCAACTGTTAGTCACAGCCCTGTGAGTTTGGGCAAGCCATTCAAACTCTCTGACTTCACTTTTCTCTATTTCAAAATAAAAAAACTATTCCTGCCTTGCAAGCTCATTGTAAGGAAAGGCAAATGTATGTAAAATGCTGGAACCATTATGATGGAAATTGCAAGAACCACCATTAGCCTAGAACAAGCAAAGACTAGATGGGTGGAAATACTTTTTAAGAGACCAAGAAAGCAGAACACTTAAGTTTTTCTACATGTAAATAAACTGCAAAGGGAAAGAAAAAAGGAACAAATATTCTTTAGTACCTATCATAGGCCAGAGATCCAATTATGCTCTTTTCCTAGATTGAATCTCACTCTATCCCATGTGGTGGGTTTTATTACCCTCATTTTACAGATAATGAAAGTGATCATAGGGAGGTTTTCCAAGACCACACAGCTAGACTGGCCTGGAGAGGCCGAGAACCAAGGGCTCTTTCTGATACATCATTCAGTTTTGCCCCTAAAGTGAAAATGCTGCAAACTCCATGGAGAGCAATGTGTGACATTTATAGAGTGGCCGGAAGCAACACTTCTCCAAGCATCTTTGGGGAGGATAAGTTTTGTTTTGTTTTGCTTTAATTAACTAATCTAGCACAGACTGTGACATTTGTAAAACATAACGAATTACTAGAAACGTAAAAATTTAAAGGGCATACAAAATACACACAGACTCAGCCTTTTTATATTAGATCGAACACACATAACGTGACTGTCAAATAGTTACAAAATTTCCCAAGCACTCATTTGCTCTCAGTGTTTGTGCTCATCTCATTGTGGAATACACTTTGAGAACCACTACCTTGGCGTTAAAGCCATCCGCAGATCCTGGAGAAAGACCTCAAAAAGTTGTCTAGGTTTGCATCCTTTCTCCAGGCAAAAATTGTGTAAAATCCCAAGGCCTCTGGGCTATTGTTTTCTTCCAAGTATCTCTCCCGAGCCTCATACCAGCTGTGTGGTCATAGCCATCTCCCAGTAGCCTCTATCCAGCCTGGAACAGAACCTTGAATCTCAAGGTGTGTTAGAAGGCTTCGAGCTCAGACTTCATCCTCCCTTTTCCCCTCATCCCTGATTTCCTGCCGTTGCCTTCTCTCTAAACACCAGGCCATTGGCAAAGTCTGCATGAACCAAGCAGAGGCAGAAGGTACAGCTTCTTTCTTTCTTTTTTATATTATTATTATTATTTTGAGACAGAGTTTCGCTCTTTTTGCCTAGACTGGAGTGCAATGGCGTGATCTCGGCTCACCGCAACCTCCGCGTCCTGGGTTCAAACGATTCTCCTGCCTCAGCCTCTGGAGTAGCTGGGATTACAGGCATGCGCCACCATGCCTGGCTAATTTTGTATTTTTTAGTAGAGACAGGGTTTCTCCATGTTGACCAGGCTGGTCTTGAACTCCTGACCTCAGGTGATCTGCCCGCCTCAGCCTCCCAAAGTGCTGGGATTGCAGCCGTAAGCCACCGCGCCCAGCAGGTACAGCGTCTTTGAGCAGGTGGGAAAAGTAGGACAAGTGGATAAGAAAACCTGCCGTCACCACTTATTGTGTGTTTTCAGGTTAGCCCTGAGCTGGTGTCAGCTTCACATACATTAGCTCACATTATCTTCATAGCCTCCCTATGAGGCTGGCTTTTTTTTTTTTTTTTTTTTTTTTTTTTGAGATGGTGTCTGACTCTGTTGCCCAGGCTGGAGTGCAGTGGCATGATATTGGCTCCCTGCAACCTCCACCTCCCAGATTCAAGCAATTCTCCTGCCTCAGCTTCCCAAGTATCTGGGATTACAGGCATGTACCACCACGGCCAGCTAATTTTTTGTATTTTTAGTAGAGATGGGGTTTCGCCATGTTGATCAGGCTGGTCTTGAACTCCCGACCTCAGGTGATCCACCCACCTTGGCTTTCTGAAGTGCTAGGATTACAAATGTGAGCCACCACACCAAGCCAAGGCAGTATTATTGTCTCAATTTTATAAAGAGATTGAATATCAGAGAAATGAGAGCAGAGACTGGATCTTAGATCTGTCTGAGACTTTCCAACCTAAGCCCTTAACTCCTACCTCATGCTTAGCTGGAGGAAGCCAAAAGGCCTGGAGGCGCCTCCACAGCCAACCTGGAGCACCAGAACCTTGAGCAAACCCAGCTGGTAAGGTTCACAGTTCCTATTCCCAGTTCAGTGCCCAGATGCCAACAAATTTGTCAATAGCACTTCTCCACTGCAGTCTCTACC